AGATGCGTCGTGATCACATTCTGGGTGACTTTCGGTGATGATGTGACAGCTCCCTACACGAGGTCCGGTCCTTGGGTCCCTTGGAAAAGGGAAGCATAATCGGCATCAATAGCTCAGCTCCCTCGTCAGGACGGCAGGAGCAAGCCGTGGGAAGGAGGTGCACGGACCATTCGATTGGCGGCTGCCTTGCGCTTTCCTCCCTCGGAAGGTACCTAGGTTCTAGGTTCTGGTGGTCTGCAGGCTGCCTACCCGACCTGCCCAAGACTCCACGTGCTGAGACGTTCTGAGTTTGGGCGTTCTCGGGGCTGAGTCGGGCTTGCGCATGGTGATGGTCATGGTGATGAATGCATCGACTCGGCGACTTTTTTGTTTTTTCCTTTCTTTCTTGGCCTTGCTGGCCTACTCCTATTTCCATCACTCCCAGTGGACCGCGCAATTGTGTCGTGGCCATTTCGAAGCTTTTTTCGTATTCATCACCTTTTCAGCATTTTCACGACGCCGGACTTTGCCCGAGTAGAAGCTTCCTCGCTTCATTGAGACCCCTGTCTATTTCCGGTTAGGACGTGCGCGTCCCCGTGGCTTGGCCTGGCCTTCACCAACTCGACTTCGCCCCCCGTTTCGGTCGGTAGGGCGTTCTCGTTCTTGTCTTCCCTTTCCCATCGCCCATTCTGCAGCGACCATCCCCCTCCCCCGCCCTTCTCTTGCGATACGCGCAGCCGGGAAGAAATAACGAGCCGCTTCCTGATTACCATCTATCCAGTCGCGCATCCTCTTGACCGGCGATCATCACACTCGACCTCGTCTGCGACCCTGAGTACGAATCAGACCCCCCCCCCCGTCAAAGAACCCAAGCTCTCTACCACCATGTCCAAACCCGAAGATCATCCTCCCGCCTACGGCGCCGGCGCTGGCCCTCAAGCCCCTCAACAAGCCTACGGTGGTTACCAGTCCACACCTCCTCCCGGCCACGACCCCAACCAGGGCTACTACCCTCCTCCCAACGGACCCGACATGGGCGGCCAGCCGTACTATGGCTCTCCCGGTCCCCAGGGCAGCCCCTATCCCCCACCCGGTGGTCCTGGTGGCTACGGTCCCCCGCCCCCCGGCATGTACAACAGCCCCCCGCCCGGCCAGATGTACGGACCTCCTCAGGGCGGTCCCTACCCACCGCAGGGCGGCTACTACCAGGACAACCGTAACAACAACGGCGGTGGCGGCGCCGGTACCGGCATTCTCGCCGGTCTCGCTGGTGCGCTGGCGTGTTGCTGCTGCTTGGACTGCATGTTCTAAATCGGCACGCGCTGCTGGCGAGGAACAGTGTGTGTGAGGGCGGCAGCGGCTTCTATATTCGTTCGACAGAGTGGAACCAATACGCGCCCTCCCCCTCGCGATGTCGCATCACCAGACATGGGGACCATCAGTTACAACTTGTTTCTTTTCTGCTTTCGGTCCACCGGCGTCAAGGATTTGCAATGTTTTGCGCGGTACAATACAGAAAGGAGCAGGCAGAAGCGAGGGGGATTGGAGCAAGCAGAGAGGAAGCTGTTACTGAACATTTCGCGCATGTGGATAGAGCCCCAGCACGACGGTTCACGGTTCCCAGGGAGGCGCTGTGTAGGATGACTTTTTTTTGTTCCCCCGTAGGCTTGGTTGTAATCGTTGCAGGGCGCGCATTGGAGGAAGTATTATACATCTTCGCGCCTGCAAGTGGCCCGTCGAGCCCTTCGGCAAATAATTCCATACCCTTGTTTGTCAACCACTTCATATGGATATGTGCAAGTATGATACTCTGTTTTGATTTCTTCGCGGACCACCGGTGTGTGGCAGCTTGCGCTGGGGGGCCGCGAGGTATCAGAAAGGTTGTTGGCCTTTCTGATCTGTAGTCGAGGTGGTCAGCGGTGACAAACCCTTGGTGACAAACCCTTATTTTTCAAGATATTTTTGTTTTCACAAAGAAATTCATCTGTCAGCTGCTACAGTCACGAGACCGGAAACCGATCTGGAGATAGTGATCGAGGTATCGAACATTGCATTTGGGTTCCGTTCGAGAGCGTGCTACAGTACGGAACGCCGCGAACTTGTTTCGGTACAAAGCTATATTATATGGGAATCAGCCACCCAATCTGCCTACTCTTTGATTCATCAGCCAACTTGTAGGTCCTGCTAACCGAGAGGGGAGTTGTGGATCTCCTCATACACGATAGGTCCACGATGTATCTGTGTTGATAGATACGTCCTCACATGCATGTTGGCGACGGCGACGTGGTGGAGGGTCAGCTGTTCCCCGCCACACCACACTGAGGTCGGTAGAGACTTGGCATTTGCTGACCTAATACACTGCAATCGTCATGTGAAGGCGCGGAATGATCAGTGGAAGGATGCCCATCCACACAGCGATCTGGGACTGGTAGCATTCTACCCGATCTGGGCTGCATATTTGTGTACCTCTGGGGCGTAGATTGTCTATTGCGACATCGTGATGAAGATGATTGACGATGAGGATTCTCAGAGCACCATGTTTCTAGACAACCCAGCTTGGGGCGATACGTGTGTCACATAATCGTCTTAGCCGTTGATGCACATCGTACATGAGCGCAATACTATTTAAAGAGACATACCCTCACTCAGAGCTGGATCACGGTGCTCCTTGCCTACAACGAGATGCAGCAGTCCTCCCGAGCAACGAGCGTTGGCGTCATGGTGCGCATCAACATGCCTGAGCGGCCCCGGGATGCCGAAGGGGCGTTAGGAATGTGGCCATTAAAGCAGCATCAAGTGACACCGCCCTGATTGCTGGTAGAGTGGCTGATCAGTGTCTGGATGGACGGTACCAGCAGGCGGCTGGGTCCTAGAAGCGTTTCTTGCTGAGCAACACGCGATATTTCTTTTCCTGATTGATTGTCTTGGACAGTGAGTACAGCTGTCCAATCTCCCGACTGGCAGTCCTCCTCAGCACTGAGTCGGCAAGCGAAAAGTCAAACCAGGGAGCGAGGGGGTTGTAACGGAAGCGCGGGCGGGCACGGCGGGCGATGCCATCTCGCTAGCCTATTTGATATCCACTTATCTCGGGTTCGGAGACGATACGACCATGTCTGCTGTGAGGTTCCACCACCAGCGCGTCGCCTGGCTTTTGCTTCAACTTGAGGTCGGCAGGGGTCCTGAAGACGTGGCGATTCACTGACCGAGCACGCCTGACAGACCTGACATGGGGCTCTGGCGGGCGCCACCAGGGTAGCATTTTGGGCGGGCAAAACTGGTTCTAGACCTGTCAAGGTCGAATCTTGAATTTGAAAGAAGCGCGCGCCGGATCTATTTCAGGTCGTCAAAGGGTGGCGGCCTCAAGCTGGCTTGTGTCCAGCGAAGGCAATGATGGCGGCTAGTAACGCCCAGGTCTTTGACGAACCAAAAGGGTACGGAGGGCGCTGTGCAGGCCAAAGGGTGCAGTGCCAGGGGCAGGGGCCTGTTTCGGACAAACGTCTCCAGGGCCAATGAAGCCGCTGATGTCACTGACCCCAGTTGTTCTTTCCAAGATTTGGTCCATGTCGCGTCGGATGGCCAATCAATGTGCCCAGATCCACTTCCCAAAAGACCAAGAGCACCCGGCGCGACGATTCAGTGGGTTCCATCACGGTCTGTCCACGGTAGATACGTCTGGCTCACAGGCAAAGTCGCACCGCATCGCCAGAAGCTCTGTGCCATCCATGCCTTCGAAGAGGCCTGGGGAATGACGAACTGGCCGCCGGTGACGACGATCCCCTCGTGAACTCCCTCCGTCCCTATGAAACTCCGCCTTTCCTACATTTTGGCTCCCTCCTTCTCCCCACACCCACCACCCAGATCGTCGACCTTGTTTCTCTCTTTTAGCGATCATTGTGTTTTCAAGGCATTTGTACCCGGTGGTCCATTGGCATACGGCCATTCTCTCGGAGTGTATCGACATCCACCCACCTACCTTGAGAAAAAGAATCGACGGCACAATACTCATTTCCGCTTCCTTTACGCACCTCCGAACACGCTCCTGGCTCAGTAGGCTCACGACAACCCACAAATACTAGGACACAGTCGACATTCTTCACCCTTTCCAACGATAGCATCGCAAAGCCCGTCAGCCAGATTAGAGCAAGATCTGCTTGACCCTGGGGTTTGTCTCCTGCAGCGATCATGGCGGACGAGCCATCCCAGGGCGCGCCTGGCAGCGCCGAATCAAGAGCTGGCACAGGACTCAATGCTTTCCTGGCAGCCTTGGCGGCCTCCGTGATCATTTTCGCCGTCCAAATCAGCATCTTTCTCCTACTACGGAATAGACTTGCCCGCATCTTGTCAGTCCTCTTCCTCTCACCCTGGGGAACGGTCCATTTTCTAACTGACGGCATGGCAGCAAACCGAAAACATATCTCGCCCCCGAGCGCGAACGAACAGACCCACCGCCACGGAATCCTGTACAACTCATCAAAACGTTATGGACCTTCAGCGACCGCGACATTATCAGACGGTGCGGCTTAGACGCCTACTTCTTCCTACGATTTCTCAAGACGTTGCTCATCATCTTCGTCCCCATGATGTGTATTCTGATACCCATTCTGGTTCCCATCAACTACATCGGTGGCGAGGGCCAAGACGTCATTGGCGGCCGTCCGAAGGGGCAGAACAGCACGAGCAGCAACAACAGACAAACCGGCCCCCCGCGAGGCCTTGACACTCTCACCATGTCCAATATTTCACGCGAGAATTCAAGTCGGTACTGGGCCCATCTGATCATGGCAATTTTGGTCATTTCCTGGGTATGCGTCGTCTTCTACTTCGAACTCCGCGTCTATATCAAGATTCGCCAAGATCACTTGACAAGTGCTGAACATCGCCTCCGTGCTTCCGCCACAACTGTCCTCGTCAACAACGTGCCCCCAAAATGGCTCACTGAAGAAGGTATCAGGGGTCTGTTTGACGTTTTCCCGGGCGGCATCCGCAATGTCTGGCTCAACAGAGACTTGGGCCAGCTCCTGGAGAAGATCGAACTTCGTACTCAGATTCACCGACAGCTCGAGTCGGCGGAAACGGATCTCATCAAGATGGCCAAGAAGAATCAACTCAAGCAGAGGAAAAAGGACGAGAAAAAGGCCCGCAAGGCATCTCATGGCAAGGCGCCTACCAAGGCCGACATGGAGCTCAGACGCAAACAGGAAGACGCCGCAGCGCATCAAATGGCTGAAGCGGGACAGGGCGTGAGTTCTGGCGCGCACGAAGAGGTGCCACATGACGTCAGTGAAGCGGTCGACCAGCACCAGCAGAGCGGAAACCGACGAAACAGCCATGTCCATATTGATGACGGGGACAGGCCAGAGCATGAGACCGAGAACGGGAGCTTTGGCTTTGGCTTGCTAAGCGGCGGCCTGGAGAAGGTCGGGCAAGGCCTCCGTGGCGGTGTGGGCAAGGCCGGTATGGGCTTCAAGACGCTCGGCCATGATGTTGAAGACGGTGTAAATACCACCAACGGCTTCATGAGAATCAATTCACCGGGCGCCGGCGAACATGCCACATACACCCGAGGGTCTGCCGACCATGCACGCATCCAGGCTGTGAGGGGAGAGAACGTTCGACCAGGAACTACCGACAGCGCTGAGTGCCACTCGAGGACAACAGATGCGGCTGAGAGAGTGCACAGCACTCATTCGCGCGATGCATCGGATACGTCACAGATTGTCAAGGCCTTCTCCAACTATGACACTACTGCAAACGGGAACACTATTCGCAAGGTCAGTAACCTGAACAACCTATACGACAATGAGAAGCGGCAATGGTATCAGTTCTGGCGAGCTCCTCCCGGCGGATTCGCGTCGCCTGTCCCTCAAATGCAAGAGGGGTCCGAATTTCCATTTGGTCAGAAGAAGACTCCCAAAACTTTCGCTGAGCGCGTTAAATCATGGATCCCAGGGATGGGTGATGACGAATTGCCCGCCATTGAGTACGACCCTGCTTCGTACTCTGGCAAAGACTACCAGGCCACCGATGGCCTTGGCGAACCGGATGCTGCTTGGCGCAAATACGTCAAGCCCAGCAAGCGACCCAGGCATCGTCTCCCGCGATGGGGGTTTCCCACTTGGCTTGCATGGCTTACCTTTGGCAAAAAGGTCGACACAATCTACTGGTGCCGAACGGAGCTTGCGCGTCTCAACCTGGAGATTCGGGAAGATCAGGCGCACCCTGAGCGCTACCCACTCATGAATTCAGCGTTTATTCAGTTTAATGAGCAAATCTCGGCTCACATGGCCTGCCAAAGTCTGATTCACCATCTGCCCAAGCAAATGGCACCCCGCGTCAACGAAGTCTCGCCTAATGATGTCATATGGAGCAACATGGCGATCAAGTGGTGGGACGAGTGGTTCCGAACCGGAGCTGTCACCTTGCTCATCACGGCCATGGTCATCTTCTGGGCTGTCCCAGTTGCTTGGACGGCTGCGCTTGCCAACATTGATAAGCTCACTTCCATATCATGGCTCCGGTGGATCGAGAATAACAACACGGTTTACCAGATCGCCGGCGGTATCGCTGGTATTCTTCCGCCTCTCATCCTTGCCCTCGTTCTCATCCTGGTCCCCATCCTACTGGATTTGCTCGCCGACTTCAAGGGTGCTAAGACGGGCGCACAGAAGACGGAATTCGTACAGCAATTCTACTTCATGTTTCTCTTCGTCCAAGTCTTCCTTGTTGTCTCCGTTGCCAGTTTCTTCGCCGGCGCTGCAGACGAATTGTTTGCCAACCTGCAGAAATTCAACGAAGTCGACTACATCTGGACAGTGCTAGCAGACAATCTGCCTCAGGCTGCAAACTACTTCTTCTCGTACATGATACTCCAGGCGCTGTCATCCAGCTCCGGTGCGTTGCTCCAGATTGGTGCTCTCCTGGTCTGGTACGTGCTGGCCAAGATGCTGGATACAACAGCACGCAACAAGTGGACTCGTAACACAACTCTCAGTGGCATCAAGTGGGGCCATCTCTTCCCCGTTTACACCAACTTTGCCTGTATTGGGCTTATCTATTCGGTCACTGCGCCCCTCATCAATATTTTTGCCTGCATTACCTTTGGCCTTCTTTTGCTGGCTCAGAAGTATTGTCTGCTCTATGTCGTGCGCGCCGGGATCGACACTGGCGGTGTGTTGTATCCACGAGCCATCAACCAGCTGTTCACCGGGCTGTATGTCATGGAGCTCAGCATGGCTGGCATGTTTTTCGTTGCCAGAGATGAGAACAACCGACCCCAGCAGCCCCAAGCCATCATCATGTTGGTCACTGTTGGTCTCACAATTTGCTACCAAGTTTTACTCAATCGGTCTTTCTCCCCGCTCTTCCGCTATCTGCCGGTGACGGGCGAAGACGAGGCTGCGATTCGAGACGAGGTCTTCCACCAGGAGCAGCTTCGACGATTTGGCATGGTCGAAGAGACTGATCAGGACACTGACGGCGCTGATGCCGAGAAACGCCTGGATGGGAGCATCGGCGACTCTCGTGGCAGAGAAGACGACGAGATTGAGCTTCAGGGACTTTCACGCAATGATACGAAGAAACGAGGATACAACCCTGTCAAGGGCGTTCGCAACTTGGCGGTCAAGGGAGGCCAAGGTCTTCGCAATGTTGCTACGTGGAAGAAAGTGGAAGCACCTTCGGCCGTGAGAAATGCGGCATACTATCGCAGACATCAACGTCAGAAAGATCTGGAGGCTCAGCGTGCCATAGGAGAAGCGCTGTACGGGGGCGTCGCCGACGAGATTGAGGATTTGATGCCTGAAGAGAGGAATGCACTGGTGCAGGAATCTTTTAAGCATACGGCACTTCGAGCCCGCATGCCGACTGTCTGGATTCCTCGCGATGACCTGGGTGTCAGCGACGACGAAATACGGTTGACGAGAGAGTATACCGAAAACATCCACATCAGCAACGAGGGAACCGCACTGGATAGTAAGGTCCGGGTCGTATACGGGCGGAATCCTCCTGACTTCTCAGAGGTTGATCTGATTGACCTCTAAGCGGGAAACTGCAATTTCTTACTTCATGACACGACGACGAGTTTGGCCTTTTCAGCATTTCGCGTTACAGACGGGCCAAGCCATGCTTGACAGGGCACCACAGGCCGTTTGAGCATACTTATACCCCGGCGCATGGGGTGATTCATAGCATACATAGGAACAGGATGATCTGCTTTTATTTTCTTTGATTTCAAGATGATTACAAACTCACGAAAGTTTGTTCGGCATTTGATTCGACAGCGCCCGCATACGACGCAATTAATCATGACGTGATGGATCATATCCCCCGCACGAGATTCCCGATCAACCTGTCGTCCTTTGCCTCACACGCACAGCATTATCCACTTCATCCCTCATTCCTTAGAACACTAAAGACCGATTGTCGGTTTTGGAGCACGAATCGCTACGATGACACACACTGGCCGAGCCACTGCCACCGTCAACGGTGTCACCGTTGCCGAGACTACCGAGTGGGAGGAGGTAGAGGGCAACGTGTACTTCCCGCCCGGATCGCTAACGCGCGAGCTCCTTGAGGGTCCGACGGGACATTCCACGCACTGCCCGTGGAAGGGCGATGCACAATATTACAATGTCAAAACTGGGGGTGCGTCCCCTCGCGGCGCTGTTTCATGACTTTTGAGATGAACAGCTGCGCCTGGGTTCTGGTGCCAAACGCTGACATGTTCGCAGACACAAAGCTGGAGAACGCGGCTTGGTATTATCCTGATACGAAGGACAAGGCGAAGCATTTTGAAGGCTATGTTGCTTTTTGTACGTTGTCAGACCCAAACCTTGCATGCTAGGACTGACTGGCGATAGACAAGAGCAAAGTTGACATCAAGACGGAATAACCATGCCTCAGACTACAGGAGCACACATGGGAAGGAGCTCCGGAGAGTATCCTGACGGATGAGCTGCGAATGAGAAGCTATTATAGAGGGACACAGGCCAGCATGACCGGGTGGGCCAGTGACACTTGGTGGGAATGCGCAGTGTTCGGCCATGTTCTTCAATCTTCTTCCGTGCTGTCTATCGTATCTTAAACCTCGACGAGTTGCTCTTCCTCGTCTTCCACCTCCTTGACCCTGGACTCTGCATCTGGCTCCTCGTCCGCCATCAACACCTGCACCAGCCTGTCGCATGCCTCTCTCACCTCCTCATCATCCACCCGCGAGTGCGTCTCCCGGATGATGGGATACACCTTGGCCTCCCTCATGAGTTCGCGTCCGTCCCTCGTCGTCGTCAGCAGCATCAGCGTCTCGATATGCGTCTGCATGATCCGCGGGTCCGTGTCGCGCTTCTTGTCCGGCGGCAGCAGCTGCAGGTCGGGCAGCATGCCCATCATGTCGTCCTCGTCATAGTCCTCGTCGCCCATGATGGGCAGCAGGATGTACGGCAATATGTCAATGTCGTCGGTGGCGAGAAAGGTCGGGTGCGCCGCGACCTCAAAGGCGGCGTTCTTGATGGTGCTCGCGACGCCCTTGCGGCGGATGTCCGACTTGTGCTCGGTGAAGACGCGGAGCTTGGCGAGGGGCACGACGTCGTCGTAGGCCTGCTTGGTGACGAGGTACTGGCGAATCTCGGTGTGCTTGGCGAGGTCGGCGAAGAGGTAGGCGAGGTAGTCGTAGTCGGCGGCCTTGTTGTAGGTGCCCTCGGCACCCTTGACGAAGAGGTCGAGGAGCTGGTTGATGACCATGTCGTTGGACTGGAGCGCCTCGGGAGCCGGCTGCTTCTTGTTGAAGATTTTCTTCAGGCCATCCCATTTGGCGAGGTTGGCCAGGAGCATGGCCAGCAGGTTGGCGTTGGGTTCTGTCGGTTTCTGAGGAAGGGGGAACAAAGGAGAAGGGGTCAGTTTTCCACGGGTTCGTTCAGTGGGAGATTTATGATTTGACGTACGACGACCCTCGCGAGCACGGCGTCCACGAACTTGTCGTTGGCGGCAAGAAGTTCGAGAACGTCTTGCTCGCCCGACAGGTTGACCAATATTGTGATGGCATGTTCGGCAATTTTCTTTGAAAAGTGTTAGCATCTGTCCACTACATTGGCCTAGTGCGAACGGGTCTCGTACCGGGTGATCTTGCGTCAATAATGTGAGATTCTTGACTGGCAGCAAGTTCTCAGTCTTAAAGATGGCCGGATGTGTTGTTGAGTATGGAATGAGATTCTCTACGGCGAGAAGCCGAATCTGGGGGCTGGCGCTGGCGATGAAGCCGACGAGCTGGCGCATGTCAGTCATGACCGGCACGGCGAGCCAAGAGGACCTATCGCTGGCTTACATACCTCCTCCAATTCTGTGGGCATGTTCAGAGACTATGATGCTCGTGGCCTCTATGGATGAAATATAGAGTGTAAGGGAACGACGACGTGTAAATAGAGCAGAGATTGGGTGGACTGTTGCTGCATGACGGTTTACTCACAAGATGATGAGTTTGAGGCGACGAAGTGAATCGAATGCCATGGTGGGGGGTTTGGCGGGGGCGCATCGAAGGACGTCAGTCGTGGGAAATACGAGATACCCATTGGACAAAAGCTGCGCAATTCTCCACTTATTCCCTTCCCGAACTGAGGGCACTAATCGCGGGGCAAGTGCGATAAGAAAAAAATAAAAAAATCTGGATCGTGCTATCAACATCGCAAGCCGACTCCACGACGAGTGCCTGCTTGAGCCCCCTTCACATCGCCGGGACACCTGATACGACCGCACAAAGAACCATCTCGACGACCAGAGACCGACGGCACAGACATCATGGGCAAGGCAGCGCCATCCACCGACCGTCAAGCGCGGCGCCACAACCCTCTCCAGGACGACATCCTCGCGACCGGCATCCTCAAGAACAAGGCGCCCAAGGTCAAGAAGGGAAAGAAGACCAACGAAGACGACGAGAATTATGTCGACAACAAGCAGAGCCAGAACATCCTGAGGTTGGGCCGCGAACTTGCCGAGGAGGATGAGGGGCCGAAACCGGCAGCCAAGCCCACGGTCGACATGTTCGGCATTGAGGCGAGGTACGGTATCGAGGCGCCCGACGAGGACCGCCAGTACGATGACGACGAGGCGTGGGGCGACGAAGACGAGGTCGTAGAGGAGATCGAGTTGGACCCCGAGGATCTCGAGATGTACCGCAAATTCATGCCCGACGCAGGCGAGGAGCCGTCGGACATGCTGAAAGAGGCCGGCTGGGGCACCAAGGGTGGGGACGACGACATGGGCGGCGGCGGCGGCACCAATCTGACCGAGCTCATTCTTGACAAGATTGCCGCACACGAGGCCGCCGAAGCGCGTCGGGAGGCTGGTCTGCCGGTAGACGATTATGAGCTCCCCCCCAAAGTTGTCGAGGCCTACACCAAGTAAGTATCCGCCGAGCGGACAGTGCAGAAACCGCAGACTGACAGCAGTGCAGGATTGGCCAGATCCTCTCTCGCTACAAGAGTGGCGCCCTCCCCAAGCCCTTCAAGATCCTGCCGACGCTGCCGCACTGGGAGGACATTATCGAGGTGACCGAGCCCGCCAAGTGGACGCCCAACGCCGCGTACCAGGCGACGAGGATATTCACCGCCTCGACCCCCGCCACGTGCCAGAAGTTCATGGAGATTGTCATGATCGACAAGGTGCGCGAGGACATCTACGAGACCAAGAAACTCAACGTCCATCTTTTCAACGCCCTCAAGAAGAGCCTGTACAAGCCCAGGGCCTTCTTCCTCGGCTTCCTCTTTCCGCTGCTGTCCAGCAACTGCACGCTGCGCGAGGCACACATCATCTCGGCTGTCCTCGCCCGGGTGTCGGTCCCCGTTCTTCACTCCGCCGCTGCCCTGAAGGGCATCACGGAAATGTAAGCTATCACCGTGCCATGAGCGAGGCTCGCGAGAACCCCCACACGCTGACAGGACGATAGCGCCGCGCAGGAGGCGTCGCAGGGCACCGAGGGCGGTGGTGCTGCCAACGTGTTCATCAAGACGCTCTTGGAGAAGAAGTACGCCCTGCCCTACCAGGTCATCGACTCGGTCGTCTTTCACTTTTTGCGTTTCCGCAGCGTGGATCCCGCCTCGGTGAAGGAGGGCCAGGCCGTGTCTGGCGACATGGTCAAGTCTCTGCCCGTCATCTTCCACCAGAGCCTTCTCTCTTTCGCACAGCGCTACCGCAACGATCTCAGCGAGGACCAGCGAGAGGCGCTTCTCGATCTGCTCCTGACGCACGGCCATCCCGCCATCGCCCCTGAGATCAGGCGAGAGCTCATTGCCGGCAGAGGACGTGGCGTTGTGGCCGAGCCGGAAGGCCCCGCATTTGACGGCGACGACACGATGATGGATTTGTAATTTCCAGAAAGGACCCAGCATTCGCTTGACGACTGGCACTTTCGGGCACTTCCCTTTCTTTTTTTTCTTCTTCCCCGGAAGGCAATGGCAGGCATGGCATCACGAGAGGCGTTGAAGGGTTTTTGATTTGATACCCGCCAGTCGAACGGCGATCCAGGCGGTTCCGAAAATGACGTGGGACGGGTAGCCACAGCTCTGGGCACCAGCTGTTCGGTGGCTAGCACCTACCTTACTTATATGACTTGTTTATGATCCAGACCAACACCGGGGTCACTACTTCCCGTGATCCGACCAAGAGCTGAAGAAACCACATGGCGCCCTGAAAAGGCTGGCATCCGCGTTGCGGTAGGGTCATGGCGAGTCCATGTTCTGTCTTAGCCTGGCCACTCCTTCGAGTAGACGACATCCTAGCATCAACCATGACCTTCGGCGTGAGCATCCATTACATATCGCCCCTCTTCAGAATGGCTTGATGGGTGTCCCTCCCATCCTGATGTGATTGCTGCAGTAGACTTCTACGAGCTTTGGCGTGCAACCGGCGGTGGGGACTACGCACCAAAGCCATGGCTTCTACATATCCCCAACCGAAAAGACAGGCGCCGTCTTATTTCCCAAACAGCCGCAGGCGAAGGTAGGAAACTCTACTCAGAGCTGTTCAATCATCTGGTCGACCTAACGGTGCCGAGCAGCAGCTCTTCGCGTGAAGCAGATGCCTCGCGTCGCATCTCGTTCCATACTGCCCTGCTCGAAACCAGCCCTCACGTATCGACGCCGAGCTGTGATGGATCAAGCACACCGAGGCCACACCAGATGGGTGGATATTTTAGCAAAATCCCAATCAGCCAACCACATACGTCCTCATATCGAACGGTTGCGAGCAGCCAGCCGGCACCGCAGCTGAACACTAGGCAGCGCAACCTTGACCCTCCTCGTCCGGCCCGAGAGGGATTCGAATAGGTATGGTTTCCTGAAGGCTACTGGGCTGAACGCGAAATTGCGGTTGTCGACCTACGCAGAATCACGCCGAGCAAGCTGTTCAGCTGGCGGAGTCGATCTCTCAAGTCCATCAGCGATCCTCCAGGGCGTCGCATGGGAGGCAGCGATGATCACGGTCCGTCACCCAAATGCCTCACGCCGAAGGCACAGCCTTCCATGACGTCGGCACCAAACTCGCCTTCCCTCTCGATGCTGAAGCCGGCCACACCGATGAGCCCTTATGCCTCCGAGGAAGCCCACGTCGCATCCCTACAGGGTCCCTCGTCGCAGAGGCTGCGTGAATGGAGCGACAGCTCTTTCAAGAGCACGCGCAGAGTCGTTCCAAGAGCTGAAATGGACGAGATTTCGCCTCTCGATGTCGTGTTTGGGGTGCAACTATCTGAAGAGAAGGAAGTCACGGCGACGGCCACGACGGGCCTCAGACGGACGCTCCTGGGGCGAACATTTCTTGACCGGCTGCAGAACAAATCATCAGCGCGCCTGCCTAGCTCGCCAGCGAGCTCTCAGTCTGACCTGGCGTCCAACGACAGTCTGCCGCATGGATGCAGCGCTCCAGAGAAAGCTCAAGTGGAGAACGGAGCAGACCCGCTGCGCGCAGTCAGGAGTCTGGCTAGATCAGCGTCGTGGCTCAGGGGCGAAACCGGCAGCAACAAGTTCGGCAAGAGATGGTTCGGCAAGGCACCCTGGCATCGAAAGGGGTCTGGTGCCTCGGCCACCAGTGCTGCGAGTTCGGTTCGAGGATTACTCGCCGGAAGCACACCACCCGTCACACCATCCAAGGAGATGCAGCTCGGTGCGTAGCATTGCTTCTCGTGTAGCATTGCTTCTGGAGGTGGGGTCCACGGCTAACCGACGAGATGCAGACTACTACACCTCTGGCTATCCAGGAGGGGTAAGTTGTGACCCTCGCATGTTTTCCACCTTCGTGCATACGGTAGACCCCTACCTAATACGTAACAACGCAGGAAGCCACTCGTATCAAGACGCCCCCTCTCGTCGAAGATTCTGCCACGGGCCACCCCAGATCCTTCTTTTCCCAAACCCGACCGCCTGGGAACCTGGCAGGAGCTGATTCGTGGACAGTCATCTCGGCCTCGCAGAAGAGCTCGCCCAGGTCCACGACGTACAGCCAGGAGGGCGGCCCCTCGTCGAAGACGAAAGAGTGGTGGGAGGCGATGCCGTCGAAGCCCGTCAGGCGGAACCCGACAGACTCGGACCTGGCTGTGCTGGACTTTGAATTTGATCTCCCAGAGCACCTGCCAACGAGTCCCACATGTCCAGCGAACAGCAAGCACGAATCCAGAGGATTGGGTGTTTGTGTTTATCATGGCCGCGGCAAGGGAGCTTCAGGTCTCCGAAAGGAATTCAGGCCGAGGCGCGAAGGCTCAGAAGTATCCATCACCAATGCCGATTATGACGGAACGTGATGGGAAAGGCGACAAACAACAAAAGGTTGCGCCCATCTTGGTCAAAAATCGATGGGCATGGCAGGATGAATGAGGGTGAACTTTGTCATGGATGTTTGATGCCGTGCTGTGGCCATCGCTCTTCGGAGGGTGCAGGATAGCGGTTCCCTGAAGCAAGCACAGAACAATGACAGAGATTAGGCTATTATGATTAAAGAAAACTCTCTGTTCATGCTTCGCAGCCTCGAGACGTGACTGGAAAAGCAGAACGAAAGGCTGAGAAACGATAAGAACTTGGGCCTGTGAAGGCATCGCTCACGGATAGTTGCATAACGAACGACCTTGCCCCCAGACATCGCTTTCACGCATAGAGGTCGCGCTACCGACGTCGGAAAATTGGCAGCTCCAACGAGAGCTCACCAGAGCTTCAACCACACAATACAACACCATCAGCGACGACATCATCCTTGACCACCGACTTCGAACCCCCTCAGCCTCGCCTTTCCAACCCAATTGCCATCGCCAGGGACACATCATCGACACTGCCCCGTCACGCACCTCCTCACAATGGCGTCCGCCGAGCAGGACCCGCTGCTCCTCCTGCGCCAGTCCATCGCCTCCAAGCGCGCCGCGATCCCCTCAGCCTCCCCAGACGCCGCCGACGAGGCCCCCCTCGCCCGAGCCACACACCTGCACTTCCCTCACCCGCGGCCAGTCTCCATCAGCCTCGGCACGCCGACGCGCTTCATCAGCAGCGACCGCCCCGTCGACCTGCGCTCCATCTACTTTGCGTGGCTCAACAAGGATGTCGCCATCCCCGAGTACAACGCCTCGGCCACGCGGCTCAACGACGACCTCGGCGCCCTCGGCAAGGTGCAGAACCTCGCCTTTGTGGAGCGGCTCGATCTCTTCACCTGGCTCGAGGGTGCGAGCGAGGAGTCGGAGCACATCAGGCCGCTGGCCGGCGAGGGCAAGGACGGCGCCGCCGCGGCGAGTGCCGTCAAGGCTGCGCCGTCGGCGGCCGTCACACGGAGTGGACGCGGAACGCTAGACCCGCGGCTGGCTGTCATCTACAACGGCGAGCGCAGGATGGGCGATCGCAATTCCGTCCTTCGCGGCGTCAAGCCCACGGTATGTTTTTCTCCCCCCCCCCCCCCCCCCCTTCCTCGCCCCCTCTGACAGGAGGGGGCCATGCGGCGCAACGAGAAGAGCGCGTAGCAGGCGACAAGAAGCAAGAGACACGCAGCTGACGCTCGACGAATCGTCGCCAGGACTTCTCCCACGTCCGCAAGCTCGCAGCACCGTTCATCCAGAAGAAGCCCGGCACGGGCCCGAACCCCGTCTCCGCCAACCCCTCCCTGGCGCTCAACCAAAAGGCACCCTCACGCCGGCCCGACCCCATCATCCTCCTCTCGCCCTCGGCCTCGTCCATCCTGCGCATGTCCAACATTCGCTCCTTCCTCGAGCAGGGCCGCTACGTCGCCCCCGACAGCAGCAGCGCCTCGTCGTCGTCGGGCATGCTCCACGTGTCCCGCGTCCTCAAGGACATTGACCCGGCGCGCCCCATGCGCTTCATCCTCGTCGAAGGCCCCGAGCAGTTCAAGCCCGAGTACTGGAACCGCGTCGTGGCCGTCTTCACGACGGGCCAGACGTGGCAGTTTAAAAACTACAAGTGGAACCAGCCCCAGGAGCTCTTCCGCCACGTCCAGGGCATCTTTGTCGGGTGGCGCGGCGAGACGCCGCCCGAGAACGTGCGCAACTGGGGCCACCGCGTCATGCAGCTGGGCGTCGACAGGCCGCGGCACGCCGTGGGCGCCGTCCCCGGCGCCGGCGACGCCGCGCGCTTCCGCGACAAGGAGGTCGTCGAGGCCATCTGGAAGCAGGTCGAGGCCCAGATGCGGGCCAAGGGGTGGTCCAAGAACACGGCACCGACGCTCATCTAGGCCATGCCGCGTCTGTCTCCCTGTTTCGGTGACGCGTCACGAGAGGCGTCAACTTGACACTCTCGACTGGCGAAGGAAACCTGCGTCCCCATTACTCTTGCGCCCACCCGCCCCCGCCCCCGTCCGCGGCGACCGGGAAAGCAGGTTGGGCACGGAAGGAGAAAAGGGAGGGCTCTAGGATGGCATGGGGCGCATGGAGGACATGTACGAGTACGAGTGTGAAAGGGGGTGTTCAGAATGGAGGAAGCAGCAAGACAAGGAGTCATCAGCGCAGGCGTTTCTGGGAGGCCGGATGCCTTTCCGCGGCGGGCGAGGGTAGATGGGAATGACCTGGGCAGATCCAAATCTGATCCTGGGAGACCGAAGAGGCATTGTTCCCGACGACCAAGTACGGGGGTTCCCCCCCCCCTTTCCTCCCCCCTACTTTGCACGTTCACGACTCCTCCTCAGCATTAGACATAGGTACAGCCGAAAATGCCAAACCCTGGTATCGTCGAACGGGCCCGTGTACGCGTCTCGACGGCCGTAGAGTGCTGCCCACCCCGGCCCCTGTTCCTCCATCACCATTCCTCCCGGTCTGGTGGTGCCCAACACGGTGAGTGGGCAGAGAGCGACGACGCCCAAGATGAAATAAAAATACAACAAAACATGAAAA